GGCAGCATCAGCATGAATCTTCTAGTAAAGCCAATCGACAGCTGGTCAAGAGGAATCCGTCTTCGTCTTTTGGTGGAACGATTTTCGAATCTCTTCACCCAACACTTTCATTCGAAATGGAAGTAACCTCAACAAATAATATACCAGTTCCTCGTAAATCCCATATATCAACACAGCATAATTCTTCAGTATATAGTTAATTTGGTTTAGTAGATTTATCCAAATTTTGATTATTAATTATGAAACTCTTTTATCTGATCCATGTTCCTCAAATAAGTGCCATTTTGCCAGCCATTTTTTTTTACTACAGATTTATTGCCTTATCCTGATCCACTTCTAAGTGCATCCAAGTTTCACCTTGGCAACAAATAAAAGCTGTATGATTTAACAGCTAATTGACGATTAAATGCCAATTATTTATTACGCTAAGTATCATAGTGCTTGCATAAATCATATCGTCATTAAATTTGCATGCTTGTCATTGCCATGTTTGTTTTAAATATTAACGTCATCAGATGGTGCACATCAGTGAATTGGCACACCTCCATCTATTTATCTGTACCATACAGCGAAAGCAAACTTTGGACAAAACAGAGGCCACAGCATGGTTTTCACATCTCTGTATACTTTTAAGTTCACTAGTGGGTTTTGATAGTACTTGAGAATTGTATTGTGCCACCAAGCTAAAATGACTATGGTAGTGTTCTCTTAAACCATTTGTCAGCCTCAATGTTTAAAAATATTAAGATAAATTTATACCTATTTTGTATTAAATAAATACTTTGGTTGACAAGAAGTTTCACGTTTTTGAAATAAAGCACAACTTCATCGAAATAACCACTTAACTTCAACCCCTATTTGCATTTCCCTGTCGACAGGAGATTGTTAGATCGGGAGCAGATGCAGGCTATGGCGTTCAGGGTCTACGTCTACGATGAAAGACTTTCAAGGCGAGAGTGGGAACACATACTACAGATTCTGAGTCCAATGGACCAGAAGGGCCTCGAGAAATGGGGTGAGGTTGGTCGGGGTTCTGCTTTCGAAACCTCCGCCAACATTGGCAGCGACGACAAAGTGAGCGGCAGTACAGGCTTAAATGGCACTGGCAGCGAGTCATATGACGCCATATTTGACCTAATGCCGTCGACATTTGGGGAATCCGGTTCTTTCGGGGATCTGCCAGGCGGAACGGTTGTACTGCGCCGGCGAGGCCGTCGACCAGGCCAGATGGAGCGAAGGGTTCATGTCACCTGGACGGAGGTGGTGGTGAGAATTCAGGACGAAAACGACAATGATCCTGTGATCAAGTGGCCAAACGCTACCAGCCATTTGATCACGTTGCAACCAAACTTCCTGCCAGGACAGGCTCTGGGACAGGTCAGTCATAAATTATCTTCTGCAATTCAATGTCCTTTAGGCATGCATACAACGTCCTTGTACGTTCTTATACGCATACATGAGAACACATAAATAAGCACAAATGTGCACACGCACGTATTGCTAGATCGACACATTAATTGGGCGAACCAAGCCACTTTATACTTCAACAAAATGCATAGATTTATGATGCCAACAGCAGTTAGGGATGAGCCAGTGAGTTTTCGAAGCTCGTCAACTTGAGGATGGTTGTAAGAATGATACCCTGTTTTAAGGATGTCCGCCATAGGACAGACGAAATTTTAACGCCTTTTCGCCAGAATTGAAGGATATTGCCTCGGGGGCAACGTCAGCAAGAATGTTCCAGCTGGCAAAAAGGAATCTGCTCTAGTCTTATGATGGGATCGACTTTCGAA